CGCTGAATAAATATTTTCACAGTGCGCAACCAAAATGACGGAAACTCCAGCATGGACGCACATTCAATAGATTTTCATCACTTGTGCTGCGGAACAACCCCAGATCCAAGCCGAACCCCAGCTACTGTCTCGCCATATTGTTGGATATATCGATTTTCCATGTGGCCGTGGCATATTTTTTTGGGGACTGGGAACAGCCTTTGCCGTAGCCGGAGTCATCCATCGCAAACAGGATTACCTCTGGTGCGCGTACAGATAGCAAAACCATTGCAATGCCATCCACCATCCGCGCTTTGTTTGTCTATTGAGGCTCATAGTCGATCAGAAAGCTTCATAGCAGATAACAAGCAGTTTTTTACTAATGTAAAAAGTTTGCTTTATATTAGATAAATGCTATATGAGTATTTATCTTAGCAAATCTAACTCCCTTCATAAGCTCCTTTATTTTTAGATATATATGGAAACAAATGTATCTATAACTATATCGATCGATATTTAAAAAGATAAATAATATTTAACTGGTTATACACTCTTGTTCCCCACTGTACAGTAGCCACACACTATGCAACGATAGCCAATGCATCTATTCATATTCACGGCTGAGTTTAACAATGGCAGCGCCTGAGCTTCCTGCGCCCCATGGTGATGGCTCCCCACCCCAAAGACTAGTCGTGAAAGGGCAGCGGAAATGGCAGCTGGAACGAGGGGCAACAAAGGCGCAACAAAGTCCACAATGTGTGATCATGAATCAAGCGCCTGGCCATAATTCTGTCGGCAGATAAAGCTATTACCGCCATGCCGGATAAGTGCGCAGCGCTCGCTCCGTTGTCTGCGCCGTTGGGCCAGTTAGATTAGAATTTAAATCCGGCAGCAGCAGACACTGAACCACGATACCACCGTACCACCCGCCCGCTGTTGGTGGCGCGTGTGAGCTAACACAAAGCGGGCGCTGGTTCGACGACGACCATTATGGATATCACCCCAAATGGCTTGGAACTGCGCTTTGCGCTGTCATCGACTCGCTGATGGCCGCCCGGCACAGAGTCCACACTTTGGTGGTGGGTTCAGTTGTGGTGGTGGTCGTGGATGTTGTTGTTGTTGCTGTTGTCCTTGGGCTGCTCTTTGATGGCGCTGGTGTCTCGCGTGGACAGCGGCTTAATACAAACATTGCATAAATCTCATTCTGGCGTTTATTTTAATTTCTTCGTAAACATAAACTACGAGCGCCCAGGGGAAACGCCCAGCGGGCTACATGTGGACGTGGCAGCAAGCGTTTTGCATCGTAAATTGTAACGAATTTCTAATTTTCTACTTAGTTTTTCAAATTGGAATTAGTAACAAACGAAGAGTTAAGAGCGAAGCCCAACCATTAAGTTGAATTTGTTTCAAAAAAGAAAAGGTTAGCACAGAGTATAATATTCTGCATGGAATATTAAACGCAACTATGTGGATTTATGCTTTTTGTTTTATCTAATATGCCTTCAATTAGTTTTTCATTTTCCACACTATACTACATAAAGTTGAAGCACGACATTACTATTATACGATATTATTATTATTAAAATAAAAATAGTATAAGCAGAAAATCAAAGAAAATCAAAAATTAAAAAATTATTGAAATAATCGACTATTAAATTTTTAGATGTCGATAAGATAAAAAAAAATAATAAAATACAAATTTCAAATATTTATATAAATTGAATAAATTTACTTTCAATTCAAATTAGTTGACTCAATTTTTATGAATTATCTGCGCAAGCATATTTCCACTCCGTGTCCCAATACATTATAATAATATTAATAATTTAAAGACCGTCTTCGATTGCGACTCGCGTTGAGCCAAATGATAATTACAAAAACAATTTGTTTTGTTATGCAGGATCTGGCAATCAGAGCAGAGACTTGGGCTTTGAGCCACTTGTACTGATTGTCCCCAGCTAGACATCTTTTGAGATTGCATTCCCAGCCCTAGGCAAGTGCTACCCTAATGAACTGCTGCCACTCGAGGGTCTCCAGTAGCGAGCCGTGCTCGAGGCACGGAGTACACAAAAAAAAATCAGCAATTTAATGTTGCATTTTATCGCTCGGCGAAGACGCTGTCTTATCGCAGGCAGCCGGGCTCAGGGCAGAGGTGAGCTTGATGAGGTGGCTGCCATTGCCATTGCTATTCCCATCGCCTTTTGTATCTATTTGGCTAGCTGGAGGGCGGAACGTGACGTGTTTGGTGGTGGCATGAACACGGTTGTCTCGGTTCGTGTCCGGGTAATTTGGCAGCAGCTTTGTATAAATTTTTTATAGGTAATACACTCAAGAAAACGGCACTTAGAGTCATCATTACAAGCGTTTTTGCTGCAATAACAGCCCATCTTGCACATAGTTTTCGCAATTTACTTGATCCCTGGCGACGGGCCGTGAGTCCCTGACGTCTCTGAGTCCCTGCAGTCCGGGCTGTGTACACAGTGGCAACTGCTGCCATCAAGTGCCCAAAGCAGTCGATTAGACATATTTAAGCCGGCTTCGAATGGCGTTTTCATCATTTCCTATGGCCCATTAAAGCCACCGGCTGCCACCTGACAGTTTTCAAGGAGGGAAAATGATGAAAAATACAACAAGCTAAGCACGCGCATCTTTAACATTTAGCTACTCAATCGTAATTGCTGCAGACACGGCAGAATATACGGCCTCGATGTCTAGACTCTAGACAATCGGAGCGTTCATTCAATTGAGTTACTCGACTTTATTTTCACGCCCCTCTGATTTCATATAGCTTCTAATAATGCAATTGCTTTTTGATTTGCACTTGGCCCTTCGCTCGATATTCGCTTCCATTTTGATATTAGTCGACTCTGTACGCGGGGGCAACGTGCACATTTCATAAATCCTTGCTTCATTTTCGCTACATTAAACGTCAAAATATGAACCCATTTGGGCAACATTTTGCACAGTGCTCTGAGGCGTGGGGCAAGCGGGGCTCGCAGTTGGCTGCTGCCACTAGCCCATTATAACTACAATAGCCAGAAGGACGACGCCGGCAGCAACAACAAAGGAAACTGCGCTAAGGTCCGCACACGGCCAAACAATATAATGGCAATAGCGAAAGGACGAAAAGAAAACTCACACAAAAAGAGAAAGATGAAAATTAAACGGATAAGGCCGAACAACGGATGCGCTAAACTTGCCTTCTTTCGTTCGTTATGTTCTATGCATATACATATATTTTTCTTTAACTGAATGAATATTCAAATATCAATTTAGTGGTAGACTGCATCAACTTTGGAAAAAAGAGAGGCAGTTGTTTATAAAAAAACGAAACAATATTTTAAGTAATTGAAGTACTTTTTGGGTAACCATATTAAGTATTAATATATGCTTAGATTAATTTTATTATCTTGCAATACAAATACGGCTTATAATAATTGAAAAACAAATGAGAACAGCATTTTAAACCAACAAAATAATATTGTCTGTAATTGAAATCACGTTTTCGCTTAGCTTGAGATGGGTACAAAGGCTTGTCTCAAATATTCATAAATATACACATATTTCATGTAAAAATTATACTTTTAAATAAAATAATTATCAAGCTGACTTTACAATTTATATTAAAACTTTTAGAAAAACATTTTAATTTTAATGCCTAACAGTTTGTTTTGCCTAAAGCTTCAATCATAAGAAATATGCATCTTTAAAGTCTTGCATCGCTGCTCCAAATACAGCCAAAAATTTCTATAGACACTTATCCTGACCACATTAGTGACAGATCTGAACTTCCCACAATCTCATGTGCAAGAATTCTATTTTTTTTTTTACATTAGTTGCATAAATAGTGTGGGTGGCAAGCGGCCTTTTTTAACTTTTTTCTACAATTACCTCAATGACTCCTTATATTTGGGAGGAAAAAAGAAAACTCTGAGCTATAACGATAATTTCTCCACTCAATTTTTCCTTTTTCGCCTTTAAAAATTTTTAAAGATAGAAACTCCTTAAAGTTGTTTTAAATGGTTAACAAGACCTAGCCCCTTGTATTGGCCAATGATATGCACAGAGTCTTTGGGTGGCAGCTCACGAAGCAATTTCATCTTTGCATGCATGAATTTTCACAGAAACGATTCCACGGAGTATCGTTCTTGTTGTCCATTGTCGATGCCACTGCGCACGTTCCACAGGCAACAACAACAATAACAGTAACAACTCATATGGGGCATGAACCATGGGAGTTTCCCGTTGCAATTACGAGTATTTTTTAACTGCTTATTGCGTTTTGGTCGTCGTCGAACACAAACACAAAAACGAACACACGAACACACATCGCATCCAGCGCCATGCTCACACAGTAGTTACATTACAAGCCCCCAGTCCCCAGCTCTAGCAGCGCCTCAGCCCCCTGGAGACCGTATCAGCCGCAGCAATACAGCAACAAGCAACACAACGAACTGAATTTCATTCGATTTCGATGCGAGGAGGATCTCAAAAGCTGTCCAATAAAAATTAACGACACACGCACACAAAGTGCGCAAAATATTGGACCAACTGCGAGGAGTGAGAGGCGGTCCTGCAGGACCTTTCAACATTCCAATTTTAAATTGAAATTTTAATTTTGTTGAAAAAGCAATCGTATCGTACATATGCAATGCCTTAACTAAATTGAACTCGGCTTAAAGTGCAATCTCAAAATATTATACTTTCTACCTTGCCACAAAATAAGCGTGGATTAAAATAAATATAATTAAATATTTGTTTAATTTTGGTTTATTGTGTTGGGAGTCGAAATATTCATCTATATACATCCTGGGCTGTTTGAAAAGCTAAGCAATGACTATATGAATATATTATGAGCATTATATTTTGAATTCATATTTAATCGCTTCATTTATGTATTTGTGTATGTATATTTAATCTAGAATATTCTATGCCTTAGATACTTTTTCTGTATTTCTAAATATAGATCTGACGCACATAACTTGTATGTAATAGGATATATTAAGCAAAATATATGGCGGCCTTAAGTAGCAACTTCGTTCCCATCTTGTTTGCCAGCATACAACATCATTAAAAATCTTTACTTCACTTTTCTCAATTAAGTGCACGAATATCGTAATTTTGCGACTAAAATCAAATTTATTTCGATGGGCGGAATCTGCCGAAACTGCACTAAACTTGACTGGCACTTGGGTTGCGTAGAGAAGAAGAAAAAGGAAGGTTAGAGAGTGCGAGAGAGTGAGAGAACAGCAGCACAAGAGGTCGTAACAATATTTTCACGTTTTGCCTAAGTCCGGAATGAGTTTGTGCAATTTATATGGCTGACAACCCCTACCGCCGTATCTGTTCCTGTTCCAGATCCTTTTTCTGCCAGAGCTCCTGCTCCAAGCTGAAACGCGGCCAGTCAGGAGGGCGACCAACAGGCAGTCAGCAGCGAACGCAGCCACTGCCATTATTTTGATACTCAGGGCTATTAACGTTAATTTTCGTTAGTTACGTAATACGTATTCGAAAGCACCTTACACACATATACAGACACACTCGTATACAGCCGCCGCCACAACCCCGCCTGCAGCATCCACATATTCAGTTTCATTACGCAGGCAACCCAACCTCGAGCCGGAGCCTTTCTTTTGCCAGGGAGTAAACAAGCAGCTACCATGTGAATGCGTGTGGGCGGCTCATCGACGGACCCAGGAACGGGCTCCCACAATTCCCGTGGCCCCATTGGTGTTTCGGCTCTGGCCGGAGGCCGTTGGCATTAAAGAGATTTACGAGTACATGATTTTGCATGTTCGGTGCCCCTGATGCCATTTAGATTCGCTTAGGTACATTTTCATCCTTGCCACCCATACGAGCTCGTTTAGACAAACTCAAACACACATACACACACTCGCACACCCACGTATAATGCTTGTGTGTATTTGCGTACGCATTTAATGGCCCATTAGTGCTATCAAATACGCATAAATATTTGCACTTGCCAGAAGTTCACGCAGACAGACAGACGCAAACAGATACGGATACGGATACGAATACATATGTGCTCAAACACATACAAGCACACATGAGTCTTGATGTTAGCTGAAGGACTTAAGGCGTGCTGAAATATTGCCGTGCCCAGACAATTGCAGTTGCATTTCTGTTAGATTTCTCGGTAAACTTATTCCTCTTCAAAAACTAGTCCACAAGGCCACATAGAGTTAATTTGTTAGCTAATAAAATATAAAAAGGATGTAATTATATTGAACTCAATCCAAAAGCCTAAAATCATTAATTAGAACGATGAATCGGTAGAGTGCATCTCATTGGATTTACCACCCAATTTATTCTGGATTTCCAGTGATGTTAGGCCCTTCGTCTCCGGTAAAAAGATAACGATGAATAGCAAACTAACAAAACAGACAATGAGCATAATATAAAAGACTGAGTACAGGTCTAGGTGATATGCGAAAATAATGGTCATCGTTGACGCGGTCAACCAGCCAACTGTAGCCCCCACAGCGCAACCTAGAGGACGCAAAGGCTCTATGATTAGCTCCACATATAGTAGCCAGGCCAAGGGCCCAAATCCAACTGAGAATGCTGCAATGAAAATGCATAAGGCCGTCAACGGTTGACTATTCCATTTGGTGTGCCTCAACCACTTAAACCAAATACATATATACAGCGCAGACAGACACATGATGATCGCAGAGAGCGCTAGAAGCAAGCGTCGGCCTACGCGATCGACCAACACGAAGCAGATTAGATAGCCAATTATCATAGCTAGCCAAATAACCCATTCATACGTATTGTAAGCTGTCTCAGACATTGGTATGAGAATGTCCCTCAGCAATCCACTGATAACAACGCCGCCAGATAGCTGATACAGCACCAACATTATACTTGATCGAGGCACGCTTCGCCATGCATATTTGTGGCTGCACCACTGGTCATGACGACCCTCTTCGCCTAGGAACACTTGTTCCTTGATCTCCTCAATATAAATGTCAATATCTTGATCACCATGTAGCCAGGCTATGGAGGCTTCCGCTTGGTTTATCTTGTCATGTAAGATGTAAAAGGTTGGCGACTGTGGTATGAACTGAAGCGTGCAATTCAAAACCGCCATCAACATCAGGATAATGTTTACCAAATATGTACTCAAAAAACTTTCCAATACGTTGGCAAACATAATGCCGTAGATGATGGCGCCATAGAACATACTGCCCATAGCTCCACGCACCTTCAGCTGACTGATTTCCACATTGTAGACGGGCACGGCCACGCACAGAGCGGCTCCACAAATACCCCACACATAACGCCCCACAAACACCATGTAAATGTTTTTGGCGAAAATCAGCAGAAGCCAACCGCAGGTGTAGGGCAGCACCTGAAACAACATCAGAGCCTTGCTGCCAAGTTTCTCCATCACCATGCCCATTGGCATGCAGAAGCATGCCGCTCCCAGGGGCATCATAGCGTTAGTCCATTGCCGCAACTTCATTGAAGATATAAAGCTTATTTGGTCGTCAAAGAATACCCAGCCGATGCTGGCACCTAGACAAAATACGCCGATATTACTTATTAAGCCGGCCATATACTGGCGTCCTATACAGGTCCATTGGCTTCTGTCACACCTCCACGGGCGTCGTCGATCAATGTTCACATTGACCTCCATGGAAATATTTAAATATTCATTTTTTTAATGGAAATATTTATCTAACAATTTTATGAAGCGTGCGAAAAAAATATAAACAATCATAACCTACAGGCTTGCTTAGAAAATTTTTGGTATCTTGACTGTTAATTATAATAACAATAGTAAAATATGGTGTATTTGTTTATAGGTTTCTTGATGGAAATTGGTCTCTTTATTCAAGTGGGAATAAACATTTAGTGAGTGATTATTATTATTATTTATACTCATTCCCGAACAATAATACAATAATAATACTATATCTGGTATGTCATACAGGCTATTAGCTAAAGTGCTAAAGACTTAATATTGAAACATATACTAGCATTGAAAAAATATATAGGGGATATGTCTACGTCCATTGAGGGCGTGTTCAATCGGCTAAAGCTATACCATACACAGTTTTAGAGCGAAAACCGTAAGATTTGACATGTGAGTCACTGTTAAGATTGCCCACGCTTGTGGTGGCAATGTGGCACATCGGGAAATGCTCTATATTAAACAGTTTTACAATTAGAAACTCTAAATTTAACCACTAAATTACTGTGATCCTCCTTTTTAGAACTACCAAAATGTATATATATGCCCTTTAGGGGCGTGGCAAGACAGAAAAAACTCTGTCTTCTACAGTTTTGAAGCTAGCGTAGTTTGGGTCGTATGAAAGTATTGTGTTAATATTAGTATTATTTTCATAAATGATAAAAATGATATTTACTACTTATTAAAAACGTAGAATGAGCTTTTAATTTAATTGAAATTGAAGGATAAGTATTGTATCTCAACTTAAGCGGCAATTTAAATTATGACGTTATTTATTTTTGTTTCCCGTCAATTGAGTTGGGTTGAATTTTTAATTGGATTTCAATTAGCAGACGCCTTGAATTACAAATTAATTTCAGTAATGTTTAGTCATATATTTGTGCCACTGGACACACTCATATAGACGTCATTCGTTTTCCATTTTAAATTCATTTGCTTTGCTGGCCGATCGGGACGCATTCTTAATTAATGATCAAGGAACTCGACCCGAACATTTTAATCAGCCCCCAGCGCTGGTCGCTAGCGCGCATATGGCGGTGCCTTCCACTTATATTTATGGCTCCTGGCAACATGGCGGTGCAGCGCGCACCGTTCGAGGGAACACAGCGGGGCAGGTAAGTCGAATGAGAAATTTATCAAATTTATAGCCGGGCATGAATTGAGATATAATTCAAAGAAATTACAAAGAAGGCGCAGGCACAAAAAATGTTGGCTTAAAAAACCAATAAATAACCGGACAAAAACAAAAGGCAGTCTCCTCCTTCTCTGGGCCAACTGCTCGCAGAGCCTACGTTAGTTTTCGATGCGCTCTGCCATTGGCTGTTGCCCACGGTCCGCGGTCCGTGTTCTGTGGTCCGTGGCCCGTCTGTCTGTGGCATGGCTGCTGCTCAGAAGCAATCGCTGAAACTGCGACTGCGACGACGACTCACTCGGCGGCCTCATGCTGCGTCCGTAATTAAAAGTCATAAACTATTTTTATGGCCACTCGTATATTTGTCGCTCAGCTGCGGCCACAAACTGTCAACTGTTTGGCCCTGGTCCGATTTGCATGCGCAGGCAGCTCGTGGGAAGCGGAGTCTGAGTCGAAGATCGAGTCTGAGTCGAACTCACGCTAAAGCTAAGCCACAGTTCAGCGACAGGTGAGCAGACGCATTTACCTAACTAATTAATTCAAAAGTGCAAATGCAATTCTGTGCTGAAACTGCAGCCAACTGTAGCCGCCTTCTATAACTGCGTTTTCTCTATAGAGACAGAGAGAGAGAGAGAGAAAGAAGTCATCATTTATTGCACTTAATGTGCAACTAAATCATTTGACAAAATGCAAATGAATATTTATGCGATTGTGCAGTTGTCATGGCTCTTTGCTCGTTTAGTTGAACATCCAGTCGAGTCGCATAAATTCATAAATGCAACATATTCCCAATGCACTCTCAGAAACATAACTTTTAATTACGCACTGAACGTGCGCGTAACGAGGCGTCACAAACTCCACGATTTCTTATATATTAATTAAAATTTATATTTCAACTTGTTTTACTATGATAAACGCATTTCGTTCAACAGCAAATACTTTTCTGTCCAGAATATTTCATTACTTATACAAAAAATTAAGTTCGAAAAACATTCTCTGGAGGTTGGTTTACTCCTTACAACAGTTTTCCGAATAGAAAATCATATTATTTTCATTTATAGTTAGATTGCAATGTTAATACTATAAATTGAAAAAATTTAAGCAATTTAAGCATTCAGCTTATGCTTAATAGCTGCAATTTATATTTTGTTATTGGGTTTTCAACATTGTTTGCCTTGTAAACATTTTAGGTCTGAAACCAAAATAGATTTAACAATATGCATAATATAAGCTACTGAAAGCCTATATATGTTCAATAGCCAAATTATATATGTAAATTACGTGCTCTTCGACTCATCAAAGACTTGCGATAAAGATTCGCATAAGTGTGTTTATTCATTGGCTATAAGCCCTAAATATACTCGTCGACTTCATTTCGATGTGAGTGTGCCCAAAAGAAAGAAAAAGAGAAAATCAGTTCAAAGAAAATGCTGACTGAGAAAGACTCAAGCGCACTGGCTCTGGGAAGCGCATGTGCATAGCCGTCTCAGGTTTGGCCGGGCTGCTCCTTTGGCGAAAGGGATGGCAACATGGAGAGCTATTCGACGAAGGTGAAACTGAAAGCCAGCAAGGACCTCGTCCTCGTCGCTATTGTCGTCGCAGTCGTCGTATTGATTTTAGTGGGGCATTTACGCGCGATTATCGTTTAGTCGGCGATGCCCGAAGTATTACGAGAATTGTTATGGCCGCCGGAATAGCGCCAACGACACGATGCCACGATGTTGCAAGCAGTTGCTAGTTGCCCCCTCGCCTCTGCTCGCCTGCTGTTGGCCAACAGCAGCCTCGACTTGTGCGGGCTGCAGTACTCGAGTTGGTGGTCCCGAAAATTGGCTTCAATGCGCCGTCGGTGTTTATCGAACAGCGTTTAAGGTCAACTCAACTATTTTAAATAAGCCTTTTATGTGACCGATGTATTATAGTAAATCGAACTTTGATCCGACTGCCAAATGAAGATATAGAAGCTTCCCTTAAGTTTGCCCGCTCTACCCTGTATAAGAAATTATATTGAATATTTGTTTTGATATTGGTTAAAATGTAGCTAAATATTTGTATTTAAAATATGTAATAGAAAATATATAATTTATATTTAAAATGACGTTATAAGTTGTTATAGTTAATTAGTTATAGTTATAGTTAAAAAGCTGTGCTGATATTCCTTTTATTTTCATTATTTTAAATAAAATCTTACCTTATCATTGCTGCTGACTGTGTTATCCATTATCCAAGTTTAACAGATCTATGTCTAAATAAAGACCTGTTTTTGGGAATTGATTTGCTACCAAGTGACATTAAGTATTAAAGTAGTCAAAGTACTACAACAATATTTGTCATCCAATTTTAAAATTGAATTTAAAGAAGCTTTTTAACAGATCAATATATATTTGTGGGCTATAAATTAATAAGGAAAAGTTTAATTTATATAACGATTTGGACTTAGTTAAAACCAAACTTTAGAATTCTCCTCGCTTACTTAATTCCATTACCAATCCCAAAAAAAAGAAAGAAAAACTCAAGCTGCCGGAACAGAGTACAGCATGAAGATAAGCGAGCCAAAGGACGAGCTGGCAAAAAAAGGAGCCAGAACAACTTTGCAAGCCGAAAGGATGCACGAAAATTGCTTTCATATTTCAGGTGATAATGGTTTCCTTATGTGAATTTACAAAACATTAAAGCTTCTGTGTACGGGGCACACATAATTTCCCCAAAAAGCAATTCACGTTAATGGTGCAAAAATCCCAAAGGGATAAGGCGGCGACTGAAGCGAAAAAAAAGCGCTTGACTTTTCTCCACCAATGATGGCAAAAGGACATCCGAAGATACGAACGCGAAGCGCGATGGAGCCGCCGCCGCCGCCTCGTTGTTTATTGTAATGGCATTTGTAGCGGCGCCGCCGCAGGACCCTTTGCCCCCAAATCCCCAATATATGAGATTAGGAACGTGGCTGAGACTGCGCAAAAACTGAAACGAGATGCGCAGGACAAGCAAGTGGAACCCGGCCAAGGCATTCGCAAGTTCGATTCGATTTGCTTGTATTGCTCTTGAGGGAAATTTCAGAAATGGTCTCCAGCATGCTTTAATGCTTTCTTTTAGTTTTCACTTTTTTGTACCTCTTGCGAATGGCACGACGAAGATGTACTTGGTTGCCCACTAAGGACTTGGCGAAGGACATGCGCTTACCTGTTTGCTTTTTCCCTCTCTCTCTCTCTCACTCTCCCTGTTGCGATGCTGCGATTCGATGTGCAAGTAAAGCAGCTGAAGGTAATAGCCGTGAATTATGAATTTTTCTTAGCTGCATTGTGTTTTTTAATGAGTCCGTCAATTAACCTTGGTAGCATTTTTACTGGCCGCAATTAGCTTTAAAACCGTTCAGACTCACCTGCAAAAAACAAACACAAAAGTGTGTCCTTGAAGCAAAACAGGTTTGCGAACGTATCTGCAGTCGACTATTTTGAGATTACAAATTATTTAAGGCTATTATGGCTAGACTCAGGTCCATGTTCTTCTAGGATTACAAGCCCCTCACTATTTTTTTAAACATAACTAGAAGATATCAGACAGCTAGCTATTCGTGTCTATTATTTACAAACTAGAAGCTGATATATATAAATATTTTCATTCCATTATCTAAGCCGAGTAAGGACTTTCGGCTTATTCAAAACAGTATACCAAATGTTCTTATATTGAAAATAGTATAGAATAAAATTGTTAATTGTATTTTACCTCTATAAACATTATAATATAATTTAAAAAAATTAAATATACAGAAGCAATTATTATATTATTATTTAGAATTTAAAAAAAATAAACGTATACGATTCTATATCAATTAAAATTAAAGTAATATATAGAATATACATTAAAAAAATTTCCAAATAGTTATTTTAAATACGCAGTTTAATTAAAATTAGAAG